CTGACTTAAATGAGAAGTCTTGTTTCTGAAGGAACTGCACATAATTTCAGGAGTATGTCTGTGTTCCCAGTTCAGCATCCCATTTTCTAGCTGGGAACTGTAGCCACTAATTTATAATCTGTCCTCATGGTACCTTGTGAACCCACCAAGAAGAGAATGTAACTGTAGAAAGCCTAAATAATGACTTTTAATGTGATCTTAGCTTTATGATTGTTAAAATTGTGAAACTAATTTCTAATCTAGAATTAAGCAGAATACATGTTGAACCCAGTTGTTCTGAAGATGAGATTTTTAATGGGGTTCCATTTGCTTGACAGTAAGAGGGCTGACAAGCCCTTTAAGATAATTTAATCAGTCACCTTTCTTAAATGAGTCAGTGATTGATAAAGTGTGGTTATTACAGAAGCACACTTGTGATTTAACTTGGAACAAATGAATGTTAACATTTAAAAATACTATGACCTATTCATTTTTAATAAGGATTGACTTTAAATTATTTTATTAATTTTCTCTTGACACAACAAATGAGGCTTGCTGGCTTTCCACAAGAATGCATTACAACTCGACCTGAAAACCACATTAAAAGTGTTGCGGTTTGGGTTTTTTTACTGCTAAATAACAAGTCATTATTTCTGTTTTAGAAATTAATTGACTTGAATCTAATTAATGCAGTGGGTTAAGCAGAACCTGCTTTTAATTTCCCTTCTGCTTAACATCTGAACTGACACAAAGTAACAGAAGAAATACTGCCCTGTAATGTTTTGTGTCCATCTTTATACACAGACATATGTATGCTTGCATTGTCTACTGCTTAGTGCTCCTCTACAGTGTAATTTAAAATCTGTTAAGTCCACTGTTATGGATGAGAGTTGTCATTCTAGCTGATAATTTCTGTCTTTAGAAGTTGCATGTCTTAATTCATTCTTAGCAAGTGACAGCATTTTATATTTTTTTTCAGACAGCCTTAATTGTGTTTGCTTACTTCCAGCTGTTTAAAAAGTCAAAAATAGGAAAGTCAATTTCTCAAGGAGAAGCAGGTTCATTAATTTGTACGACTTCATGTTTTTCTGAGTGCATATTTATATTAGCTGCATTTTTTTCGAGATGTGGAGCTCATAAATCAAAGTCAAAAGGGTTCTTATGGCTGCAGGCCAACCTACCGTTCTGGAAAGAGATGTTCTCATTCATTAAGAATGTTACAGAGGAAATGAGGAAATGCTCTTGGAAATGCTCTCTCCTTCTGTCAGGATTACCTTAGCCTTCTTGTGGTTGAACTTCTAAGCTGCATTTCACCCAGTTGGTAAATTCAGCTATTCGTAGAGGAAACTGAAAGTTGGCTTTGCAAGCACCAAGTAATAGAGATGGGGTCTTAGCCATGTATTTTTATAAATTTGGTGGCTCTTGCATATCCAGCTGTATCCCATGACTTTGCATGCTGAATGAAGTGAGAGAGCATAGATCTCCATGAAGCTTACTGCTTTGGTGAAGAAGGAAGAGTTAAATATGGTATTTATGGGGAGAATCTGGGTGATTCCAGAGTACTTATGTTGTTTTTCGTGCTGTTTGGTATGGAGTAATATGAAAACCTGCAAATTTAATTTTGATATCTTCAGAAGTGGGAAATGCCATGTGCAGGTTACACTCTAGCCTAGGTATTTGGGATTTTTTCTTTTAGCATCCATAAATGAAAGGCACCCTTGTGGCTGGCACTGGTGGAGGTGCTGGTTTGGGAAATTCTTGTAAATGTTTGGAGGCTAAATGGACTTTTGGCCTAAACCAGCTGTACCACCAGCCCTGACTGTCCCTGCCCAGCCCCCCTTGAGCCTCCCCCACCCTGCCCACAGCCCAGGACTCCATTTCAGTCCCCTCGGGGCAGTCAGTCCCTGCCTCAGCGATGCTGCAGCGAAGTCCTGGTCTCCAGCTCTCCACAGCTCTGCCCAGCCTGGACACGGCCTCTGCTGAGCCGGGCTGATGTCCCAGCCCAGCCTTGGCCTGTGTCTGTCCCCATGGCCTGCCTGGCCATCCTGGGACTACGTCTGGCCCCAGTTACCCTCACCAGGGTCAGGTCCCTTGCCCACAGACTGACATCCTGGTCTGGCCTCAGCCCATTCCCATGGAGGTGCCTGATGTCCTGGGCTGGGGCTGCCCGCAGCCTGCCCTACCTCCCTGGGGGATCTGCTATGGCTACCAGTGCCCTGGTCCCCATGGTGTCCCAACAGTTCAAATGGAAGAAAACGGAAAGGAGTGTGATGTAGCTATGTCTTATTCCTGATTTCATCTTGGGTTTTCAGAAAACTCAAGTGCCTTTCCTTAATATTGTGGCACTCCTGATTGCGGGAAGTCCCTTATTGTGCATTACCCAGAAAGCAGCCTGAGCGCTGCTGCAGTCAACCATCCAAAACATCCCTGCGTGGTGTGGGTTGGTGCTGCTGTGGTAGGGAAGAGGCAGCAATGCGGTGCCGTGGAGTTGCTCCCTTTTCTGCTATCAGTGCTACTTTTGTGACTACTTTCTTTTTAGCATAGTTTCTTAAGGAGAAGAAGGTTTATAAAAGTAACAATTGTTTTATCCCTCTGTATTGGCTACTATCAGTCATCACCAAATCCCATAATTCTTTCAGGTTTTGTGAACGCTGATGGCTAGAGGTTCAAATGGGTTCCCTCAATGAAGGGGAATCTGCCTTACAAATTTATCTTGGAAAGCTGTAACTCGTAGTAGGCACGATGTGCCTTATGGGAGGGTGGTAGGAGCGCGTTGCAGGAAAGCTCTTCTGCATCCCAGCTGCCTGCTGCGGGGCCTGTTAGATGTGCCTTGTGCCTAGACTCGGGTTCTGCAGAGGCAGTGGCTGAAACCAGGGAGTAGGTGAGAATGGGCCAGAGCAGGATGGATGAAGTGAACCTTCTGAGGTGTGTGATGTTTGCTGTTTTCCCATGTGAATGTTGGCATTGAAACAGAAAAAAAAAAAAAAACAAACGGGAAAAGTGCAGGCAGTGTGAGATAGAAATACTTACATACTCACTGTGGAAAAGCTTTGCTCAGAGTTCACACTGTATTAGATCTCATGTAAATGAAAAACATGGCATAAAATGCTTTTGGTTGGTGCTTGGGTGCTCTGTTAGGAAAATAGTAGTTGACTGCCTGCAGTAAGTTTTTCTACTTACTTTTTTTTTTTTTTTGCAACTGTTTGCTGCTTTATTAGCAGTGGCCTTTTTTTTTTTTGTTGATCTGAATTTGCAAAGCCTGTGTTACTTAATTTACTTTGGGCATTTACTTATGAGGGCTTAGCAAGGATAACAGGCGTTCTATGCAATGGAAAAAGATAATAAATCCATAGAAGACAGAAAAGCCATTGTTCTGAAATGTCATTAAGTGCTGGCAGGCACCTTTAAGAAAAATCCTGCAGAAAGTTTGAAACTAAACCTCATCGTTCATTAATAATTTGAAATGTGAAAGAAGAACGTGGCAGTTCTCTGATTACTGAAAGCTGAGTTATAGAAGGGTATGTTGACATCATTAAATGCTTGCTGGAAAAGTGGATTGAAAGAACCAGGTTTTGAAGTTTAGAAGTTATTGTTTCCAGCCTGCTGGTGATCTGGTTAAGAAAAACATGGTTTGGTGATGCTGACAAAATCACTGCCTGCAAGTGATGTGTTTAGGTTGGCTGTGAGTCTTAACACTTACTGTGGGTGAGGACTTCGGGAATAATCATGCTGCTGTAACTCTGTAGCACCTGGATTGCAGGAATACAGTGTATCAGTGCCAATAGTTGAAGCTTTTTTTGAAATGCAGTGAATAAAACATCGAATGAGCTTAGATTTCAGGCTGAGGTTAAATAATTGTTTTATCTCTATTGGAGTTTCTGATCCACTTTAATAATAGAGCTGGCAGACATTTGAACAGAAGGGATAGGCTTGTGCACAAGCAGGGCTATGCTAAGCTTAGGGAACACTCATTAGAACGGTTCACAGCAGCAATTCTGAAGAAAATAAAGCTAATGCGAGAGAGCGCACAGCAGAATGCCAGGGCAATAGGCATTTCAATTTACACTTTTCTTTATGTCAAATTCTGCTTTTTTTAGTGTCAAAGTGAAAATTAATTAGCAGATCATTTCTGAGGAGGGAGAAGGTGCTAATCCTTGTTGACCCAGAAGTCTTAATCCCTGTGGTTCCAGTGGCACAGCTGGAATTTGCACTTCAGGTGCAGTCTCAGTCATGAGCAGAAGCTCAGGACAGGTGGGATCTGGTTTCTGCTCTGCATCGTCTCTGTCACCTGGATCTGCAGTCAAGCTTGTGGGCCTGGTTTTTTGAGTGCTGATTGAAGTTCTCAAGTGTACACTAGCATAAACTCCCAGGTGAATAATGGTAGATACACTTTAATTTCTTCTAAAGTATTACGAATTTTATCTTTTTTAATAAAAATGCCTCTGAAGATTGTGTTTTCCTAATCTAACACATGGCTTTTAAATACCATTATCTTGTAGACCTGCAAGAGTTTTGTTTGGAATATATCTAAAACTAGTTAAAATGCACTTGTGATAATCTTGTTTGCTTACCTCGAAATAATACTGCCACATCACGGTTTTATTCTTGGAGAAAAAGGATAATTTTTTTCATGAAAAAAAGCAGCATTTAGCGCTATGCTAATTTTAACTAATTACAGGAGAGCATTGTCATGGAATTTATTTGCTTGTGTTTCAGATGCTTTTTATATTGGGAGATGATGATGTTAAAAATGCCAACGTTCTCCTTTAATAGCATGTGGAATTTTTGCAAGTCCTTTTTTTGTTGCATAAAAACATAGCGTGATCATACTTTGTCATAAAATCAAATACTTATTTTCCATTATAAAATGCCATATGCTCATACATTTTGATTTCTTTCCAGGAGTTTCACGTAAGTGCTACTTTTGTAATCTCTTGGATTTTCAGTTTAGAGTGGACTCATTCTCCTTGCCATAGTGCATGATCTTTTACATCTTAAAATGTTATGTTTTCTCTCCATAGCTTCTGCAGAAAAAGACACAATCAAGAATACCTACTCCAAAGTAATGGATGCATATGGGCTCTTGGGTGTATTAAGATTAAACCTTGGTGAGTAAAATATGTAAAACCTTAGTTTTTCATTTGGGAAGGCAAATTGCAAAGATCCTGTGCTGTGCAGTTTTACAATAGGAACTGTGTGCTTTTTTTCTTTTCGTTTTTTGACTTTGTAGTGTAACTTGCAAGTTTGGAGCACTCCCAGAAATGAGGGAGTGGACAAAAATAACTTCCGTTTTCACAACCTCTGTTATTTGCAGCATAGTTTCTCCTGTTTGTTTCCTTTTCTGCTGTTGAACTTTAGAATGAGTTCTTGATGTTTGTTCTTTTTGAACTTTTTTTCAGGCAAACTGGTGTCAGATTGTGTGCATTTAAGCATATAAATACATCAACTTCACACTCCACTGAGATTCGTTCTCTTAAATGTCTTTTCTTGTTTTACAGGAGACACGTTGTTACATTATCTGGTTCTAGTAACAGGATGCATGTCTGTGGGAAAGATTCAAGACTCTGAAGTTTTTCGAGTTACTTCCACTGAATTCGTGTCGCTACGAATTGATTCAACAGATGAGGATCGTATTTCAGAAGTGCGCAAAGTTTTGAACTCGGGAAACTTTTATTTCGCGTGGTCTGCAACTGGTGTCAGTTTAGATCTCAGTCTCAATGCTCACCGCAGCATGCAGGAGCACACCACTGACAACAGGTTTTTCTGGTGAGTTCGTGATGTGTTTTATCAGACATTATATAGAATAGCGCATGCCTGTACAAACTAATCTGTGGCAAGTTTTTATCCTTGTCCTTATCAGCTCTTAAGTGTACACCATTGTCCCACAAACGTTGAGAGAGGATAGCATTATTTTAACTCTTAAGGACTTAAGTGTGTTATTAATGATACAACGTTTCCATGGCCACCTGGAGTTTCTTAATTGGAAAACAAATTTTCACTGTCTAAGATATTGTACTTTGATCTGAACAGTTGTTGTGATGTTGTGTTTCAGCTTTGGTGTCTCTTGATTCTTCATCAAGTGTGTCAGTTTTTACAATGAGTATAACGGGAGCTGTAAAGAAAATTTTCATCTTTGGACATTCTGGATTCTAAAATATTGTGGTGGTTATATGTAGTTTCCAAGTAGGAACATATGAAAGTGCTTTAAAAGTTTTATTAGACAGATAATTGTCATGTTGCTGATTTTGTTGAAACAGAGCAGGTAGGCCATGCTACAGTGCACGTTGCTTGGCTGCTGAACTCACTGTCTTTTCACAGAATATTTTTGAATAAAGTATAGATTTTCACACAGCGAATTCTTGGTAAAAGGAATACTGCTGTTTCTGCCAATAAGCAGCTTAAGTAATACCAGTGATACTTACTGTCGTGTAAGAAGTTCTGCTCCCACATTTTCAGCCTTTGCTAAAAATGGCGTATGTGTCCATGAACCTTGGAAGGGTCATGAAGACTTGGCGGTATGCTGTTACAACAGGTGAAAAGCTACATCTTCCCCACTCTTCCTTCCAATACAAAAGACACAAAACCAGCTCTGGCATATGGGCCAGTGCTGCTCTACTCTTTGCCACTATTTTGATTAGATAGGGGAATATGCACAGATGGCTGTATAAGACCAAATGTGTGTATTAAGGCAGAAAATAAGCTCTGGTCTTCAGAAACTTGTCTACCTTGATGTAGGTTTACAGGACTTACTGGAATCTAGCTGTTTGTGTGTCTCTGCATATGGAAAAAGACTGGGCTCTCTGTTGATAAGTCAGTATTTCAAGGCTTGAGAAGCTATGATGTCTGTTGACCCTGTCCAAATAAGCTTGGCTGATTTTGACCCCTGTGGTAAAACTTCTGGAGTTACCTGTTGTTTGTTTTTTTTTTTTCAGTAAGAATCAGTCCTCACAGGAGGTAGATGGAAAGTTCCAGATTCCAAGATCTAGAAGTGTAAACACTAAAAGTCAATAACAGAAAGTATTCTGTTTATGCACTTCAGTAAGCTTTCTTGGGCTTTTTCTGTTCAAAAGTTCCAGTCTCAGGTTGCCCAGGAAAAGAATATTGTTTGCTTTCTCAGTCTCCTATTGAAATGCATCTGTATTCTGTGTATCACTTCACAGAAAAGTATACTTGACTCATGGAATTTGAATCTTTATTAATGATGGAACTGAGGTATTTGATAAGTTGCAAATTTTTTTTTTTTAAATTGGAAGTTTAGGGTGGAAGGACTAAAATTAAAGTGAATACCTTCAACCTTTGTACCAAATATATTATTTGCAAGTATGGTAGAATTTTCTGGGCAATGACAAAACCAGCCATCTTACTAGAGTTTACTTTTCTTTGCTATGCAGAAAACTTTACTTTCTTTTTATGCAAGTGAATTTTTCCAAAGAAGATCAAAAGCCAAGTCCCACTAGAGTGAGGTAAAACAAAAAAACTCAGAAATCCCAAACTTTAGTCTTATTTACTTACTACAGTGTTGATTGGTGCTACTTAATGCACAGGTATGTCCAAACTGTGGATCTTTCTTTCATTTGAGCAGTGATTGATTTTAGAGAACAGTATATGCAGTATATAATGTACCAACACTTAACCCTGAAACTGATATTTACATAAATTTGAAAATCAGTTGGCTATGAGTGTATTCCTGGAAGCTTGTCTGGGAAAGTGATGTGTTATGGTGATGTATAATAGAAATAATCAATGTATGCTGACAGGGATTTTTTTCTAGCTTTGTTTTGTGGTGGTGTGAAGTTGAATGGTGCTTTACCCATCGCAAAAAGTAACCCCATAATTGGAATTCTGGTTGCTTTTTCCGGAGTCTGTAATCTTTGGATTCTCAAAGCAAGTCGGAGTGGAGAAATATAAACAAGCTTGGAGTGTGGTGTGGTTTGTTTTTTTTTTTCCTGGGTGAAGAGCAGAGGCTATAAGGGTTATTTTTTTAAAAGTCATTAAAATTCATGGCTTCACCTCTTGTTCTTATTGTGGAAACACTTAAGCTGTTCTCTTGTAAACTTTGCTATTTCAAGTATGTTTAAATAAGAGTTCTATCATAAAATTATAACATGCGTATTTTCCTTATTTGTAGTAGTGGGTGTAAAATATAGGAAGTCAGTAGCTGGCTTAACAATTCAAGCTGTGTTTCATTTCCTTCCAGTTATTTTTTTTTGTTTTTTTTTTTTCCCTCTGATAGGAACCAGTCACTGCATTTACATCTGAAGCACTATGGTGTGAACTGTGATGACTGGTTGTTACGTCTCATGTGTGGAGGAGTGGAGATAAGGACAATTTATGCAGCTCACAAGCAAGCAAAGGCTTGTCTCATTTCACGACTAAGCTGTGAACGGGCTGGCACCAGATTTAATGTCCGGGGAACAAATGATGATGGTCATGTTGCTAATTTTGTTGAAACAGAGCAGGTATATTATGCTACAGTGCACACTGTTTGGCTGATGAACTCATAAGTGTGTGTGTGGATAGTTTTTTTTTCCCTAAATCAAGAGATCACAAGTCAAGTCTGTAACCAACAGATATTGGAATAGTTCCTTTGCTGCTAAATAAGGAATCTAAGTAGGTTACATAATTTGATGATCTGGGTTTTTAGTGTAGCTTAGGGTAAGGGCATACATGGGTCTGAGTTTCAATAGCTTAAGAAGCTGTTATCCATCAGCTGAACTGATGTAGGTGGCTGTACTTCCTTTTAGCCTTTGAGCTGTACATGAGCGTGTACTACTTTTGGCCTGAGCTAATAGTAAAGTAAAAGACCTTAGAAACCAGCGAAAGAGATTTTTGGCAAATACATGGTACCTTGTGTTCAGGAAAGATAAAAGCATTCCTATGGTTGCTTAACACAGCTCCTCTGAAATGTACTTTTATAAAGCCACTGTAATTCTGCTGCATTTGATTGCCTATCTTTGCCCTTATTATACAGATATGCAAGACGCTGTTAAGTCATTCTTTGCTGGCCTTTCTTTGCTCACTTCCTAGAATAACCTAGTTACCAAGATGTTGTTCCTGAAACTGTATTTGTGTGAGTAGGTATCTCTGGTTGACTCACTGGCTTTTTGCAAAGCCTGCATGACTTCAGTAGGATTTTATCTAGGAAGGGCTCTGCTTGTACATATCCAATTTCAGGAGTTTGATCAGAACATTGTTGTTACAGTTTTTCTGTTCTAGCTTCATGGCAGGCTAACGTCACTAGATGACTGTGACATATCGTTCCACTTAGTTTCCTTTGCTGTATGCTTAATAGACCTTTGCATTTTGGATTCTGATGCACGATATCTGTGTATGTGTTCTGAGTAGGTTGTGTTGTTATTTTCTGTGCATTGATGTACGTTTTAACTGTTCCTACAGGAAGGTCTTATCAAGTTTTTAAAAACAAGTTACTCTTAGCACGGAAGTCATTCAGACCTAAAAAAATAAAAGCTTGCTGTATTTTCTTAGACATTGGGAATCATGATTCTGCAAGTAAGCGTGAGAGTGCCAGAACTTCTTTTATGAATTGTTCATCGGGATAGAGAGGAAAGTCTAAGGAACACAATTAATATTTTAGCTTGTAGTGTGGAATATGTAATATGTAAATTTATTTTTTTCTCTTTATTTACTAATTATTTAGTCTATGTTTAGCTAAGGCTAAGAAACCTAAGACCTTGTGCTCTGTAATACCTATTAATAATATGCTTATTGTTTTTCTTAACAGGTGATATTTTTAGATGACTCTGTGTCATCTTTCATACAGATTCGAGGATCTGTTCCATTATTTTGGGAACAGCCAGGCCTGCAGGTAAGCAGGAGATAGAGTTATACAGATAATTCTTATTCATGCCTTTTTAAACGTCTTACAGTAGCATTTAGGCTCTTCTGCACAGTTACCTGTCAGGATGAGGTTTTCCTTTGGGAGCAAGTTGGTGCTGTTGTTTAATTCACCAAGCCTTCAACTCTTGAGTCTCTGAATGCTGTTTTGCACAAAATTTGAATGTGCGTTGGTTTTTAGATGTTTTCTCTTTGAAGTTTTGAGTTTTTCTGTTTTAATTTAAATTGTTATTTTAAAATAGGTTATCTAAGGGCACCCAAAGAGACTGTTTTCTTCTGAAATGTTTTTGAGGAGAAGTCTTTTCAAGAAGTGAATGTGGATCAAGAGTTACTGTAACATAATCTCATCCCAGTTTTCTTGAAAGAGGGGTTGTATTGGCAACGACTACCGTGATACAATTTTTACAGGGAAGACTAAAAAAAGTTCATGCCTCACAGTGACTCTAGGTTCTTTAAACTAGACATACAAGCATTTTGCAATAGAACTGCTGAAACATTTACATGCCTTTTACTCAAAACAAGAAATAATTAGATGATATGACTAAGTATATGAGTAAAAAAGTGGTTTTTAGAAAAAAGAGGAGGAATTTTAAGAAAAGCCTATAAAAAGAATGCACACCATAGCAAGCAGAATAGATGTCAGAGATTTCATTTAGAAGGTGAAATGAATTTTTAGGCTGTATTTGGGATCAAAAGAGGTTCTTTTCTTTGAAGAATGATGAATCAAATGTGTAAAGCCAGACAATTTAATGTAATCTTCATGTCATAGGTGGGATCCCATCGTGTCAGAATGTCAAGGGGTTTTGAGGCGAATGCACCGGCGTTTGACAGGTGAAAGAATGTCTTATATTTTTATTGATGCACTGCAAACCTCTGATAAATGATGCATCAGAGGGATGGGATGTGTTATTCCAAATGGGAGGTTTTGTCTATACAAATGTGTGATTCAGCAAAGCAGCGAACTGACTGGGCAGTTTCTTTAAACTTCTGAAGGATTGCTGGTGCCTTTGAGTACTTTGTTGAAAAGTTTGAAGAAAATTTAAAATAGCGAAATGCTTTGTTAAATTGAAAACAAAAATTATACTGTGTTTACATTGAATAACCTATATTTGTCGACTACTGTGTAAAGGTAAAATTTATATTTCTATTTTATTCCTGCCATGACACTTCAGCTTCACAGCCTTATAGTTTTAACTAAATGTGTGTTGTTAAGTTAGTGCTGTTATCCTAATTAAATAGCAGTCAATGGTTGTATGGTATTCTTGAGTTATATTGATTTGTTTGGACATGACATAATAAAAGGCTTGTGGCAGTTACTGAAGTACCCAGTACATTTCTGCAGCATCTCAGTCAGTGTTGTAGGTGTTCGTGTTAATTTCCTGCATGCCAGAAGGTGAGTGTGGAATTTTTCTTCTGTTAACAGGCATTTCCAAACTCTTAAAAATTTATATGGCAAGCAAATTATTGTAAATCTACTTGGGGCAAAAGAAGGGGAGCACATGCTCAGCAAAGCTTTTCAGGTGAGTATGACAGTTCTCTCACTGTGCATATCCTTGGAGTTTGCCTGTTTGCAATGAGACTTTTACATGGCCTTTGAAAAGTGAAACGGGCGTGCTGTGCTCTGGAGCGGCTACCACTTGTGGTTAAAATTCTATTTATCTGCTTAAGGTACCTAATGTGAAATGAATTTTTAAAAGCTCTGTGTATGATTAGTGTTTGATTATGTTCAGATTGGTTACTTTACTGAAAAATTATAACAGCAACATAGACAACGTTGAGCAATTTTCAGTTATTTTCATATTTCACACTTATTAGTGGCTTATTTAAAAAATAAATCTTTTGCTCTTAGAATTGGTGGATAAATAAATGATACTTCATGGTATTTAATACTGTGATGTTTCTTTTAAAAATCTTTCCCTTGCAATTCCTAGATATATTCCTTAGTATTTTAAAAAACTCACAAATTAGTTGATTAATTTAAACATAAAAGCTGCTTCATGATTAGATAGAAATGTTTGTTCAGAAGGTATTAACTACAAGTGGCCATTTTCATGAATTCCCACTAGTTAGGTTAAAAATAACTGTCATATTGTAGTCTATAAATACTGACAAATTGAGAAGTTCTGTCTGAAGCCAGAGAACATGTCAATAGCCATCTGTTATTTCCCTTTTTCTTTTTCTCTTTGTATTATGATTGTTGAATATCTTAGGCCATTCACTAGTATCTTTTCTGTATCCAGCTACCCTGGTAGGAGACATTAGTGATCCCAGATGCGTATCAATGCCCAGTGCAGATCATAGCTTTGCCAGCAAAGATTGTGTGAGGACTTCAAGGTTTTTCAGGGGTATTAGGGAAAGTTTTTCTCAAGCCACCCTCCACAGCCACCTAAATAATTTGTCTGTGTTTTTCAGTAATAGTTTATGGAGTGTTTACTCAGTCCCTGTTGCTGGCAGGTATGTCTTAACCAGTGACTATTAGTGAAAGGGGTTTCAACTGAAACAGCTCTTTGCAAATTGAAGCATTTTAGCAGTAGAAGAGGCTGTAGACTATGTTGGTGACCCCTAGTATAGTAAGGAAAAAACTTCGTGACAAGAGAAATAAAACCGCAGGTGAAATATTAATCAGTTCTGAGTGACTTGTAGTGATTAAAATGGTTTCGTTTTACCTAAGAGAAAGCATGTAATAAACATGATAGCTAATAAAACAGCTTTAAAAATATCTGTAGCCTCTTATTTAGTTCATACTACGGTATGTTCAGATATTGGTATATTTATACTTTTTTCTTCTCTTTTTACAATGTCAGAGCCATTTGAAAGCATCTGAACATTCAGCTGATATCAAAATGGTGAACTTTGACTATCATCAAATGGTTAAAGGTGGAAAGGCAGAAAAACTACACAGTGTGCTTAAACCTCAAGTCCAGAAATTCTTAGAGTGTGGATTTTTTTATTTTGATGGAAAGGAAGTTAAAAGGTTTGTGTGTAAGACTTACGTAAATTTCTTCAACTTAAATTATGGTTCCAGGATGTTTTTGACCGCTTAACAAGAAGATAAAAGAAAAAGATGTTACTTCTGTTATTGTGGTTTTTATTGTATTCAAGATGATGCTCAACAACTGGAGTCACTTAGTTTACTCTATTAAAATTTTGCCTCGTTCTGAATGTGCTCTAAAAATCTTAATGGAAAATATCTCTGAGATACTGGTGGGGCATGACTTAATTTTAGGCCTTTGACCTCATGATTTTGCTGAAAATGGGAAGTTGTCTGTCTTTCTTGGATGCACCCACGTGGGATTAAAGAATGAATATTATTCTGTCTTCCTATATAATGTTATTGCTATTTTCCTCAGTGATGGAACATACCATTTTCTGTTTGTTGTAAATGCTGATATTCAGTGTAAACTTTTTCTAAATCTGTTTGCACCTGGATCCCCCATTTGAGAGGTTCAGTTCTCCACATAGTATGAATGGGATGCCTGTTTTCTGCCCTGCTCTGTACTTCCCAGTCCTGCTGTACTTGTACTTCTGTCTCTATTTCCCCACCTCTCTTTCTAGAGTGAAGGCAGTGCTTATCTCAGCCGGAAGAGGGAAGCAGAAAAAAATTCCTGCTCTTCTCCCTTCCACACCCATCTACCTTTTAATTAGTACCAAAGCAAACTGCTGAGTGAGGTTCTCCCTGAGAAAGAGAATTGTTGAGTGAAGGGATTGTGCCACGTGCAGTGGGGTTTCATCTTCCAGCGCAGTGGGAGAGGAGAAGAGGGTTCCAGTGCCACTCCGTGCTGTAACCTGGCTGTGGGATTAAATCCCCGAGGGGCAGGTTTAGTAGGCCTGACTGAGATTAGATTTAGTGGGAGGGTGTTTAGGTCCCATCTCCACCTCAAAATGTCACTGACCATTCTCCAAAAAGCTTTAAAAGTGGTGTGACACTTTGTGTTGGGAGAACACCGTTTGGTCTTGGTAGAGATTCAAATGATATTATCACCCATCAAAAAGACTGACAAGAGAATGAAAGCAAAATAGGCTGTGACTTGTGATGTCTTGAAGAATTATGTTGTTAAAAGATACAGTGACAGTTTTTATAAGTGCATGGACCTTCTCCTTTGGAGAATGTCAGGTTTTTTTCTAACAGAGATAGCAAATTGCTTTGTGTTTCAAATCAAGTACAGATTGTCATGAAAAAAATAATCTTGGAGAAAATTCTTCCAAACTTTCTACAGTTTATGGTTAGATCTCCAAGTAAATGGGATGAAGCCTTACTTAGTTGGACAAAGTGTGTAGCGGGAATGACAAAAGTAAGGAGTAAGTGTGTACCACTGGGAGAGCCATCAGAATTTTGTACTCATAGCCAGGCAAGAAGAGCATGGATGTTGCCTAATAGGATCCTTCTGAGAGCTTTATATCATGAATTCACTGGCTTCTTTCAAAGAAAGGGGAGCAGTTCATGTGCCCGAGAGCCCCAAGCATCTGTTGAGCTAAGGGGGAGAGGCTTATTTTTCATTTTTATTTGGAGAGGTAAGAGAAAGTCATGAGGGGTTGAAATTTGCTTTAGTTTTATCACAAATTCTTGTTACTTTTAGTTTACTTAAACATATCCAAAAGCTGTCCTAATTTTTTTATTGTTGTTTTTCCTTTAACTTAAGAGTTATTTCTCTCTGAGATTCTTGGGAAGTGTGTTAGTTGGATTGTTTGAAAAGAAAACTTAATCCTGCCTAACACTTTAACCAAGCAAGCAAGGAGAATTGAGAAAAGCTGAAGAAAGACTCATGTTATTTGAAGTAAATAAATTAGTTTTGTATAGTGAACGCTGCTGCAAAATTCACTGCTGTTACTGGAGCTAACCCTCTATTACTAATGCATTTATAAACATACTTGAGATGACAGTAGCATTGCACTGACAATACCCTGATTTACTATTCTGGTTCAGATCTTGATGTCCCTGTCTTGTTGATGATATGTGTGTTAAATGAGTTATTTCAGTTGTTTTCTCTCTCTGTGTCTCGTTGTCCTTGGCACAGATCTCAAAGCGGCACTGTCAGAACAAACTGCTTGGACTGTCTGGATAGAACAAACAGCGTGCAGGCTTTCTTTGGCTTAGAGGTAGGAAAACCAGTGTCCGGATACACAACAGCTCCTGATGCTTCTGTAGCAATTAGGCTGTAAAAGTAGCATTACATTCCCTATGAAAGATGAATTAATGTGTTTCATACATGGCAGTTTGATTAATAGCGTGATACTTTTCTTGTTCTGGGGCAACCAGATATTAGAGAAGCAGTAGTTGTGTAGTAGTTGTAATTAACCCATAGTCATGCAGCAGAAGAATGTTCATTCTTTTTTATGTGTCAGTTCATATCTGTTAAGGTTCAGGCTTGCAATTCTAGAAGAGGTAGCGGTGTCATAGTGCTTCACAAAACCACTTGCATTCATAGTTACTCTATTAGATGAAGTTCTTCATCATACAGGATTCCTGTTCTTAGCATCTGACAGTGCTGTGTGTTCATATTTTCACAGCACTGTGCTGTGAATTCTTCTTGGGACAATATCATCATGGTTGAGGCTTTGGCTATGCTCAAACTGAGTAGTTGGAAATTAAACATGGGTTTCAGTCCTCCTGCAGAGTTGCGCTTCAGCATATTGGCTTGCTATTGAAACAAAGATTCTGGCCTGCAGGCTTGTACAGCAGAGTTTGAACACGTGAACCTGATAGGAATTGATGGAGTAACTTAGCACTGATTGGGCTAAAAGAGTTGCTCTGAAAAACTTTTGACAGCTCCACTTATCTTAATAAACTAAATTTGACTGCTAAAGATAAAATCCTTATCATGTTTAAAAATGGAAAATTATGGGTGCTGTAAGATCAAACTTAAGTAAAAGGATTATTCTTTTGTTTTCTGAATTTTATTTGATTAAAATGCTCTTGGTTTAGCATCTGTAGGAGGAATTTCTGTGAGAACTTCAAAATTCATTGGCTGTAGAACAAACATTTCTCATTCTGGACTATGTAGTGCTTTGCTGCTGCATGTACCAAGTGAATACGGTTGCAAATTCATTGGTGTTTTAGTCAAACAGAATACTGAACTGTTTATCCTCATGCAAATACTCTGAAAATTTTTATCTTAACTTTCCACATGAGTACATACTGTAGCAGATAGAACACAGTTTGGGAGATCTAATGCCTTTTTTGTTCTATTGTTTCAGCTCTGCCTGTACCATAGGGGGTCACACCTTTTAGTTACTAAAATTAGGAAAAATAATTCTTTTCTTTAGTTTACTGTGTGTTGAAAAGAGTAGAAGCATGCTTGTAAAATCTCACAGTATTGTATTGCATCATGTAGTTTGTATATCTGTCCATCTTGTATTGACTTCACCATGGGAGAGACAAATTCTGACCTTAAAGTCTTTCCTGGTCCTAGATCTGTTTGCTGGAGTTTAACAGTTCACTGTAGATAGAAATGCAAGCTTGAAGTGAGCTGTTAGGTTATCTCAAATGAGCTGTGAGAAACATTGCCTTGTGTATTTTACTGATAATACAGTAGTTTTCTATGGCATTAGAATAAATCTTTATACACTCTCGATGCGTGTAGTACTTATATTGCAAACTTAGCTTTGCACCTCTATTTTTTCCTTTCTTATCCTTTTAAGAACTGGATTAAATATGGTATTTTTCTTTAGACCAGGTGTGCCAAATGAATGAGAGCTAAAACCATAAAACTTATTAATAGGAGGAAAATGGTAAATCTTCGTGAGCTGCTTACTTAATTTTAAAATTCTATTTAAATGAGCACTTTAAATTCTCACTTTTTTTTAACATGATAGATACTTCATATAATAAATACTGAGCTCTGGATAACCACCTAAAATTGCAAGAGGAAGCACCCGATTTCTGAAATGTCTTTTCTTGTTTATTTCTGCTTAATTTTGTCCGCGAGTTTCCTTTTCTAACTTTCGTTAATTCCTGCCCAATCTTCAGAATTTTGCCTTTATGTCCCTTTATGTTCATCATTTTAGACTCCTCCTCCTTGCCGTTAGACATATCAAGGTTTTAAAATTTTTTAAAAGCTCTTGAAAATAGCTTTTTTTGTTGTTTTGATTTTTAGTATTTATTTTCAGTATTATGTTAGTAGCCACAAACACTAGAAACCTACTTGACTTTTTTTAATTAATCATGATCCCATAAAGCAGGATTCCAGACAACATAAAGTGCCCCCTTCTACCTCCATGACCATAATGCTACATTTAAGTAATGTGTTTAAATATAAAATAATACATTTATATGTATTTTATGTATTCAATTCAAATGCATTTGATGTAGACTCTGCATTGTGGAAGATTAATTCAGGTATATCGATTGTAAGGGTAAAAATTGCAGTGTGTTATGCATGAAACCAGAGTGAATGACGGAAGCCATCGCAGAGCTCTGTTGCTGCTGCATTTGATAAGAGGTCAGGTATTACACTTTTTTGGGAAGAACATGAGTTGCTCTAATTCTGAATTATGCAGGGTAAAAAGACTTGAGAATCAAAAATAGCGTACCTTGTAACTAGTGAATTTTTAGATGAAAGTATTCACAAATCAACTACATAATTCTTTTCCTATATTACTACCTATCTTTAAAAGAAAATGAAATGCTGGTTCTGAAGTTACATGTATGTTGCAGCCTTTCAAACATTACAAGGTGTCAGTTTGTTCAGAATGATCCATATAAACTAAAGATTGGGGGTTTTTTGCGTATATGCTGAAAAAATATTATATACCTTTTAATAAATACATGTAAAGATTTTTCTTTTGCAAATGTTGTCTTCAACTGTTGCAGATGCTAACAAAACAACTGGAGGTATTAGGATTAGCTGAGAAGCCTCAGTTGGTTACTCGCTTTCAGGAAGTTTTCCGATCCATGTGGTCTGTGAATGGTGATTCTGTCAGTAAAATTTATGCTGGAACTGGAGCCCTTGAAGGAAAAGCTAAGGTAAAGTACATTTTATTAAAAACTTTAGCAGTATTCGGTATGTGTTTTAAAAAATTCTGTCATTATTATAACAACTATGAAATTTTCTTTTTTAAAATGTGCTTATGTTGTAATTCTGAAAAAAACAACCAACCAAAAAAATAAAAGTAGAAAGGTTGGTTATGTTGATAACCAAAACTTGTTTCAGTACATCCTTTCTCAGCCATGCCCATGCCTCCCAGATAACAACTCTGGATGAGGAAAGGATGAGGCTCAAATCTTTTGTTTCTTCAGATCATGGTTCAGAAAAATGTATATTCAAGTCAGCTTTAGTTTCTTTGAATATTTTCATTTTTCTCTCTGTACCTCTGCCTCCTGTTGTTTCGGTTTCATTCACTAAATCTCATTTCTTTTAAAATGTGTTTCCCTGGACGTTGTAGTTCATGCTTTTAGTGTTTATTAACAGTGTTAAAATTAAACAGGTTGCAGCTGGATTTTTTTGTTTGCATGATCCTCCAGCTATTTCTTTTTAGTTCTGCAATTACTGAAAAAAAAACCCAAATTCTATTTCTACCTTGCTTTCTAATGCTGTGTTAACAATTCCATACTACATGACAGCATAATGCTCTGTTTCTCTTCAGCTTGTTTTTGTCTTTGTTGATGCCTGAGTTGTTCGTATTTTCTAATGCTGTCTTTTATTTTTCTTCTAACAGTGTTGCTTTTTTTGTTTCTGTAATTCTCTCTCTTACCAGGTCATACCTGTCAAGACAAACAAATGTTGAACTATAGCAATTTTTGCCCTTAGTTCCTTCAAGAATTTCTTTTCATACCGTTCTTTTTATTCAAGAATGTGCTGCTGCTCATTCCATATTATATACCACGTATTCATAGTCGACTGTTTTGTCTTTTCCATCACTTGTTCATTCAAACCATATCAGGGTCCTTCTCTGCACATGTACAAGGCATTGCAGTAAGCTACATAAAAAGAAAATAAGTAAAGTAGACTTGTTGCTTGTTCTACCCTGAATTGGTGCACACAAGACTTTTTCATTTGGCAATTGCTTGTATTTTAGTGTAGAGTTGAATTTGATTGAAGATGTTTAGTTTTATTTTCTTACAAAAATGTCACCCAGACCGTCAGGAAAAATACAGTAAGTATTTTATGGGGTGTCTTCCCTTCCGTTTTTCTCATTCAACCTTATTTGTTTCTTTTCGTAGATGGGTAGTTTTCTACCATTCATTTGCCTACTTCAATTTTTTACTTTGTAAAATGTGTTTATTGTATTTACACTTCTATTTTTAATGTTTAAAACACAGAGTACACTTACTCTGCTGTCTTTGTAATAACACAGGATCCCTGCCCTGGTACAACTGTTAACGAGTACCACATCCCCCAAATCAAACACAGCATCCCTGACAGAAATCCATCTATTCAAAAAGGATCTTTAATACTTGCAAAACCATACAGTACTTGCCATTGTTTCAGTGAAACCTGACCAGGTCACTACTCTGATCTTCTTGAGTACTCTGATAATATATTTTAAAATGTATTTTTTAAGTTGTTAATTGTGTTCTCATTTCTCAAATGAAATGTTTGATGTTTAAAATTCTTCCATTTCTTGCTTGTCAGTTTGATTCTTCGAAGTCCAAGAGTACTTACAAGTAAAATATGGAAATCTAGGATAGGAGAATAATTATTTTAAGCTTAAATGTGATACATTTCTATACTGAAAACCAGTCCTTTTTAAAGTATTACAATACTCGTTACATCTAACTCCTTACCTACTCTTTCTTTTGCTTTCTCTGGGTTCCTTTCAATTACTTTCCTGATATGTGAATGGTGAGTGTGTTTTTTGGATCATGTCCTAAGTTATACATTGACAGAAAGGGAGCAGCATCCTATTAAAATTCTGTTGCAATAGTATGCTCCCCAACACCTCATCTGCATTGTCTTCCAAAAGTCATGGTGCCAATTTACTAGTACTTACCCTTGACAATACAGTAGTTTCTTTCTTGTTGTCTAGTACAATTCATAGGACTGAAGGATGAGTTGGTTTTGAGTTTTCTTAAGCTTTAGTCTTTTTTTCTTATGCATTTAAGAGACCTTCATGAACAATGAAAGCTATAATCTTGGGGTATTTTTTACAATAGTATAATACTATGTGGCATCCCTGATGGATTGGGGTCTATGTTTCATATACATGCAATAGCATGTGTTTACATACACCTTGGGGGCAAAATACACTTAGTTGCATAAGACACGATAAAGTGTGTATCAAGAAAATGTCTTTGTGCCTGTCATTGTCAGTGCTGTGTACACAGACTAACACTGCTGGGTTTTGAATCAAGTATGAGACTGCATGACATGTTGATTATATTATCCTCAAGGTGTCTGACCCACAGGGAATATCTGCTGTAGCAGTACATCCCTTGGAGATTCTTTAGTTCAGGTGGTTAGACCCTGTTCTTTTGGAGCACTGTTCAGTCATGCCGCTTGTGTGCAGTGTATGCAACAACAGTGTCTTCGTATGCACATAGCAATAGACTAGTGTATATGTTCCTTCTGGAATACTGCATGAGACTTGCATGTTGTTTTAAAAAGTTAAGGGGTCTTAGCAAGTTGACGCTATCTCTTTATTTTAACATGGATATTTGAGAATGTGAATTCTGAACTAATATGCTCATATGTGCATATACATACATATTCATGTATCATGACATTTGGACTCAAGTGCTTGCTCATCTCTCACTATTTGGGGAAAAGCCCAAAATCCCGTATCATGATCTAAACATGGCACTATATCGGTCTAAGTTTTGAAGACCACGGATTTAGGGAAAAAAAAATGTTCCCTTCCCTGCAGTATTTTGTTTAATTTAAATAATTTAAACTGGAATAATCTGGTTGTTAGTTATGCCTTGAAGGTATTACTGTGTTGTTTAGCATTTGGGGTGGGGAAAAAAAAAAACCAGGCATAGTACAGTATGCTTAGAAGACTTTATTTAACACTTATGGAAGAAAATTGCCTTAGACTTTAAAATCATTAATGCAGTTTACAAATATGTTACTGAATATTGCCAATGTTATTGTGAGCAGTGTCCAACATAAAATATTTTATACGTGTTCCTCCCTAACAGGCTGGAAAGCTGAAGGATGGTGCTCGTTCTGTGACCAGAACGATTCAAAATAACTTTTTTGATAGCTCCAAGCAGGAGGCCATTGATGTTTTATTATTGGGAAATACCCTAAATAGTGATTTAGCAGATAAAGCACGGGCTCTCTTAACCACCAGCAGTTTACGCGGTATGTGTCTTTCAGGATTTTAATCTGTCTGATAACTATTTGGTGTAAGAAAGCTGTTTGGAGTTTGTTTTCAAAGCAATATTGGAAAGTATAAATGCTATTTTATGTTCTGTTGGCTTATAAAAAGGTGAAAGTTACTTCTGCTTTACTAATATTACCAAACTAACATGCTGCAGTAATTTCTTTACTGTTTATATTTTGCTGATGTCTGGTGGTGTAATAGGTGGAGGATATTTGTCAGAACTTTACTGTAGATGCATGTTAGATATGTTCTGTTCAGTTCTTCAAATTCATTTATAGCAAGTGTTAATCATGAGAATTACGTATTGAATTTGAGGAAAAAAAGCCTGATTTATTAAAATATTAGAGTTTTTTATTGTTTGCTAAATGTCTTCCTCAATTTGATCTGTCATGTCAGTGAAGAAATTCTCACCATGGTGTTAAATTAGATAGACAGTATTTATTCTTTTCTCAAGCTTAGGAACGCTGGTATTTGTGTTCATTTTGGTTTCTAAGGTACTGAGGAACACAATCGGTTTGGTAATGGAAGAAATTTTAAGATAACAGGGGTTATCAGAAAATTCCTGGTGAATGATTTTTCCATCACAAAACTTTTTATGTGAGAAGTAGTCTTTCTCAGGAATGTGTGCACTACAAAAGCTTGTCAGGCTGTGGGTGAAATTCTACATCAAAATTGGAGAGATTTCATTAAGAAACGCTGCTTAGGCTGAGCAGCCATGTGGGACTTGGGTGATCTGGTTACAGGAAGGTGGTTCACCTAATCAGAGCAAAGAGCTGAGCCACAGCATCCTGCATCCCCTAACAGAGCTGTAGCCTACATGGTCCCGAGGACTACAGTCGTGTCCCACCCTTCTGCAGGTCTGATGGGCAGGGGAATAGTAAGTGGGCCAGGTGTAGGGCTGTGTGTAGAGCAGTCTCCTGGGATCTAAAAAATAGAGGGGCTAATTCTTGGGCAAAGGAGGAGCTTGAATTTGAGTCTTCTTGCCAAGATCCCAGGTAAGAGTGTCGTAATTGGTGGATTATTGCCGGTTTTAGGGATTAATAACATTCTTAATTTTTCCTTTTCGTTTTCTTTTTCCCCTTTCTCCTGGACACTTCTCAACCTAGAATGAGAAAAATGTATCAAAGCTTCAGTGCAAATCTGTGGCACAAGAAAAAAAGTTCTTGCCCAATTGTAGTCTTCGTCTTGTGGGTATTTATATGTTTCCTATGTGGAACCTGAAAGACTGTTTTCCTGTCATTTCTTTACCACAAGTTTTCATGTTATTGAAACTTTTCCTGTGTCTGAAGCCTGCTAAATCAGCCTTACCTCAAAATTAGTTGAAAGTCGGTTTTGTTTCTTCTCACTTTCTCTGTCAGGGCAAGCTATCCTGTCAATATTTGCAGCTTCTGTCAGCTGAGGAACATTAATCCCTTTTCCCTGAGCATGTCTTTGCATTGTCTGCTAGGTGGTGAATTAACTAGAGAGATACTTCATTATATGTAAATCCATTATTAATAAAGCTAGAAAAGAGAATTTGTTAATACTGTTGTGGAACTTTTTAAATTTTACAGCATAAAAGATGTGCTTTAACTGATGCAAATGGTTATGTGTAATAAATTGTATATTACAGCATGTTCTCTCACATATTGCTGGAAAGTGTTAAAAACCAATTACTTATTTGACTAATTTTTTTTTGTTTCCTTCTTACTGCATCCGTAGTTTCAGAGCAATCATTACAATCAGGTATAGTATAGAAAATTAAGCTGTAAATATCTGAGTAGCTATTGTTCTTCTCTGGCTTTTTTCTTGTGCCTATTTGCATAATATTTGGTTGTGGGCTTACATTTTCCTAGTAGTGTTTGGATCTGGCA